CATTCAAGTGTATTTTTGATTTTACGCATTTCACGTGCACGCCCGTGCATACATGAGCATGGTGACCATACCTTCTTGTAGAAGTTCATTACATCTATCTATGTTCTAAATCCCATCCCATTTGGTTGAAAACCAAGGAAGTTATAGCTGTTTAAAGTTTCAGCCAATCAGATTGCAGAGCACGTACACGCACATGTATGCATGTGCATGGTGACCATACCTTCTTGTAGAAGTCCATTATATATATCTATGTTCCAAATCCCATCCTTTTTGGTTGAAAACCAAGGGAGTTATTGCTATTTAAAATTTCAGCCAATCAGATTGCAGCACACATGCATGCACGTGATTTCATGATAATTGCTATATATCATTTTGTAGGATATCCTAATGCATGGCTATGTTCAAAATTTCAAAGGATTTCGTCAAAAAACAAGAAAGATATTGAGACTTTAGTTTCAGCCAATCAGAGCGTAGCGCACGTGCATGCGCGTGAGATCTTCCCATATTGATCACGTTATCTTGCTTATACTTCTAATACATCCTTACATTATGAGTTTCAAAACATTTCATCAAAAAATAGAAAAGTTACGGCAATATACATTATGTTGGTCATTTACGTGTTGCACGTGCGCGCTCTTGCAAGCACGTGCGCGCAAAATGACCTTCGTTCCGCAAATCTACATAACATGTCTACTGACCCTAAAAACATTTCACCTTAGTTGGATGTGTAGTTTACGAGATCATTCGCGGACAAAAAAGTGCCCAGGAAGAAGAAAAATAATAATAACTAGACAAAGCTCGTTGCAAAGCGAGTAGGTCTTCCGTCATGTTTGACCGGAAGTGGCTTTCTTTTTTAACAGAAATGAGAAATAACGTCCAAAAAAAGGCTTGATTCCTCTAAATCCATGCTAATTATTGCAAAAATAAGCCATTTTCTGTTACTTCCGGTTTGACCGGAAGTGTCGACGACGGACGGAAAATTAATTATAATGCTCCCAGAGAAATATGTTACCAGAACACTTGTCAAGAACGGCAAAAATACGAGTTTTCCGACTACTTCCGGTTTGACCGGAAGTGACGACGCCGGACGTATTTTGACGACTTTAATAGATTAAGCTTGACATTTTGAACAATTTTGTTTCTTTGACGTATCACAAATTCTCAATACTTTTTGATATATAAAGGAAAAACTTTCGGCCCTTCCAGGCCCCTGATTTAAGGGGCCAGCCCTTTTTTTGAGATGTCATTTGAAAGATCTTGAAATTCTACACCTTTTTTGTTCTACATGCTTTAACAAAATATTTCTAGGTAAAAAGTTATCGTTGAAAAAGTGCTTAAAATTTTGAAATTCTTAATAGGACTATTTTAGGGCCATAGCGAGCGTCGGTGCTTCGTACTTCCGGTAGTTGTGATATACTTAGTGCACTTCTACAAAAGTTGCTCTAGCATCACTGAAAATTTCAAGCTTCTGTGTCAAGCGCTTTTTGAGAAAACTGCCGGACAAAGTGACCCTCTAAAAATCACTAAATCGCAGAAAACTCCGAACCGGAAGTGACGTCATCAAAATAAAAAAATATATATCTAGATTTTTTGATGTTCTATCAGACCTGAAAGTTTCATGAAAATCGATCAAGCCATTCTCGAGAAATCGCGCGTACAAAATCGGTAAGAAAAAAAACAATAATAATAAAAATAGTGGAAAAGAAACCTAAGAAAAACAATAAGGTCTTCCGCTGAAGACGGAAGACCTTAATAATAAAACTAGAAAGTCTGCTATTGCAAGCAATAGCATATGTCGCCCTGTACTGGACAAGACTTTCATTTTTATCATCACTAAAACAAAAGTCCATAAGCTAAGTTTGAACAACCATTGAGTTATATCAGTCCTTTCCATTGGAAACGGAAGACCTTAATTCGGTACATCCCACTCATTATTTTTAGAATTGGTAGGAGAAGAAAGTAGTGCAGGAAAATTACAAGTTCCTCAATTTGCAGACTTGCATAAAAGAAATCTGGCAGATGTACTGAACTGAGCCTCATACTTGTTAATTGGCAGTATCTTTCCTATGATAAAAGCTTGGGAAATGTAATTTATGAAGAAGATCAGCCGAATTATTTTGTGTATTGTAACGCCAGTGAGAACTCTGAAATTTCCCTCTTTCACTTTCATTTTAGAGGTTCTACCGAAAAACGAATCTGACATGCCACCATCAATTCGAGCATTTCTGCATTGCAGAGAGCTGATGTGTGTTATGAGATAATAAATCATGTGTAAACTTTCTCAGTTAAGCGGAATCATGAACATTTTCGGCGAGATGAATGTTTTGTATACAGTGGTGATCAAGGCTTTGCGAACCATCAGTAGCGGATCAAAGAATTTATGAATGAATAAAAACTATGGAAATGACGGTACCAATTTTTTAATTTATACTTGCACTATCTAATGAAATGAATAATATACAAGTGATAGATATACAAGAAAACGCGAAATGATAATAAATGCAGCTGACAATCGTTATTTTTTTTTTATATAGATAAAATAAAATATTTATAAATTCAAGAGACAAAACAGAAGGAGAATGAATGATGGCAAAATATCACATGACGGGAACTGAATTTTATGAATGAAGATTTTAAAAAGTTACTTGTAAGTTGTATATGTTATATCTGTGTATTCTACTTGGCTGTGTGCTTCAAAAAAAAAGGGGGGGGGGGTCGTCTTGAACATAGTAAATAGCCATAACGTTTGAACGGTAAGTACTAGGGCTTTCGTATTTCAAATATGTAATCCTTGTGAAAAGAACTTTTATTGGATACGACGAACTTTGACCCTTTGACCTAGACCTTGGAGAACACATGTGTACATCTGAATCTTTTTTCTGTTTCGTTTCTATGGCAACCGTGAGCGACTCATTACAATTATTTTGAAAGTAGAAATCACGTTGACACATTGCAAGAAATAAACATTGAAAGTTTCAAAACGATTGCCTGAGTAGTTATTGAGAAAATCAAAATTAAAGAATTTTAACTTTCACCTGGTTTCCATGGCAATAATCGATTATATGAAAATTTTAAATACGAGTTGCAGAACTACAGATACTAATCATTAAAATAAGAAAAGTTTCATGACGAACGTTTAAGGGACCAGAGAGAACACTCTCGGACAAAATTTGTCGCTTTTTACAGGTTTCCATGGCAACGGTAGACATATTGGAACTGAACGACCTCACTGCACAACTACAACCAGTGATCGTCCTTTAAGGAAAGTTTCAGGAAGATTGTCCCAGCCATCTCCGAGAAACAGCCTGGATAAAAAAAACATGCGTACAATATCAATATGTCGTCCCCGACTTCGTTCGGGGCGACATAATAAGAAACAGAGTAAAAACAATATGTTCCCCAACTTCGTTTGGGGAACATAATTAACTATTCTACGACAGAATGTCCCGCTTGGAATATTATTATACATTAAAAATCCTATTTTCCTGAACTACCTTATACCTATAGGGTGACATTTTCAAGTATGTTCAACAAGGGATTGATGGGTTCTTCATGCAAAAAAGCAATATGATGATTTCTGCTTTTCATTATAACATATACAGTGTATACATAGGAAATTCAAAAGAAACCTTTATTCAGAAAATTTCAAAATTATTTAACACCATTCTTTGAAACTACTAATCTTCATAAAACACGACCATGAAGAAAAAGATTACAATAGGGAAAAGATGGGTCTTTTAACAGAACAAATAGTACAAACAACTAAAATCTGTGAACAGGGCACTAATAAAGACAACCCCGATAATAACAGAACTTCGATCTAGCAAATCAGTAGAATTGTACTGCTGTATTTTTCTTAACACTACTAGCTTTTGTTCCTTTTCTTTTTTCATTCTGTATACTGCATATGTATTCTTTTGAAATTTCTATAGCTAAGTCACAGGGACGTAGCATCCGGGGGGGGCCAGGGGGGCCTGGCCCCCCCACTTTTTTCCCCAACATAACCATTACTATAGTAAATGTTCATTGATGGGATGGTTGGCCCCCCCACTTTATAACCCTAGTATAGTGATAGCAAGGATTGTACGGAAAAAAAGTTGAAGTGGTAGTAAGTTGGCTTTGAAAAAGTTGGCCAGTACCCCCCCCCCCCCCCCCCCCCAGGATTTCGAGTTTGGGCAACTTTTAATTTTCTTTTTTTTGCTTTTGGCCCCCCCACTTTCAAAAACGATGCTACGTGCCTGAATCAAGATGCTATTTATAAGACCCTTATATAAATATATCTTAGATAATATCTAGTTTCAGAGAACTGTGTTCCTTTATCGTATTTACTGGTAAATTTCCTTTTAATTTTTCGTCATTATAAGTAATTATTTTTAAAAAAAATATAAGAGTCGAAAGAGATTAAGAAATACATGAACATAAAAAAAAATAAAAAGATTTTTCATCTTTTGAATTTTATTGCACTCTATATCTTCAACAGATAACGTAAATTAAAACAGAAAACTTGTCTAATCCATAAAGCATTGGTATAAAAAAACATTGGCCACATTAGACAAAATTCCACATTAGACAACATTCCACATTAGACAACATTTTAAACAAGGGAATTTGCTGAAAATGATTTTCATATCCAATTTGGCATAATTTTGGATTATATAACCCAAGGATTAGACAAGTTTAATGTATATTTTAAAATAAATTAAAAGAAGAACTCTGCCCATTATACCTTAAATTGTACATTATAGGTGTGTCTACTTCGCCTTTGATACTATAAAGGGTAAAATATACAGAGAACTGTGCATTGAAATCTAACTCCAATGCTCAAAATTAATATATTTAATCATTCACTTGATTCAAATTTTTAAATTGAATTCACTTCCTGTGTCAGTTTTGTTGTTCAGTAAAAGATATAACGTCCTCCTCCGTTTGCGGAGCGGACCTTTCCGTTGTCAGGTAATGGTAGTAGTAGACATTCTGTATCTGGTTATCTGTTTTTCAGAGCAGACCTTTCCATCGTCAGGTAACGTTAGTAGTAGACAGTCTGTATCGGGTTATCGTGTTTGTTATAAATTCCTTGACTTCGGTGATATTCTCTCTTTGTAAAAATTCCATAAATGTGTCGCGGACCTCCTACAAAACACAAACACAATTCAATCTTAGTTGAATAAGCACTATATGAAAGAATGTGTTCAAGAATTGCAGTTGTCTATTTGTTTTTAGTGAAAAATAAAAAGCACAGGAGTTTAATTTTTAGTTTCTTTTTTTTCAATGGCAATATTTCTGTGAAAATAAATTGATAAAACAACATGTAATAGTTTGTTTAATAAAATTGGACTGAAAAGACACTTCAACTTGACGAAGTTATAAAGAAGTAATAGACATTACTGTGATTAAGAGTTATCTCTCTTATCAGAGTATTGATGAACCTTAAAATCATTCTAGTTAGGTTATAAATAAAATATATGTTATAATAATGTTAAATCAAATAGGAAGCTGCATTACAGTACATAACACCTCAGTTTGACACTTAGCACATTTGTTGTTCTCAGAAATAAATATTTAAATACAACTTTTTTATGTTTATGGTTAACACAAAGACATCTACTCCACTAAATTGAAAATATAATTTAAGCTTCCTGAGTATGTATGTATATTGAATATTTATCCTGCAACTACCCCTTGCATTGACCTAATAAAGGTAACCTAATAAACCAAGGCTTTATCCGGTCACTGCCCTAATAAAGCCTCGTGCATGTATTCCGACGTTCCAAAAGCATTGTGACGTCACGTATACTGCAATGTTTACGCAATGGCGTCATAGATTCAAACTGCAGAGATGTGCCTAAATCTGTCGGAATTAGCTTGTTTTGGACGCTCAAATGTAAAATTTTGTTGCAGGATAAACAAAATACATGATAACTGTCTTGAAATATAAGTGATATTTGGGCTCGGGTCGAAAACGTAAGAGGGCTCGGCAAGCCTCGCCCTCTATCACGTTTTCTTACCCTCGCCCAAATATCACTTATATTTCAAGACAGTAACCATGTATTTTATATTTCCTTGTTTTTCATTCTAAACAAGATGTGTTTGTGAAACACTATGCGCCCGGCGTCAACAAAGTTCAAAAAAGCTATTTTTAGTATAGAGGTCACAGTCAAGGTCACAAGGTCATTGACCTTGGGGCTGTTTGAAAGAACTTTATTAATGGAGTAGGCATACTAAATATGAAGTCCCTATCTCCTATGGTTCAAAAGTTATGGCAAAAAGTGGAAAAAGATATTTTTAACATATAGGTCACAGTAAAGGTCACAAGGTCATTGGCCTTTGTGTTGTTTGAAAGAACTTTATTAGTGGAGTAAGCATACTAAATATGAAGTCCCTATCTCTTTGGTTCAAAAGTTATGGCAAAAAATGGAAAAAGCTATTTTTAGTATATATAGGTCACAGTCAATGTCACAAGGTCATTGACCTTGATGTCATTTGAAAGAACTTTATTAGTGAAGTATGCATACCAAATATGAAGTCCCTATCTCCTATGGTTCAAAAGTTATGACAAACAGTTGAAAAAGCTATTTTTAGTATATGGGTCACAGTCAAGGTCACAGGATGACTGACCTTGATGCCATTTGAATTGAAAGAACTTCATTAGTGGAGTATGCATACAAAATATGAAGTTTTTATCTCTTATGGTTCAAAAGTTTTGGCTTAGGTTAAAATTGAAGACAGACAAAAAGACAAACAGATAAACAGACAAACAGACAGGACAAAAACAATATATGCCCGGGATCTATCGATCCAGGTGCATAAAAAAAGGCTCTCATTAAAGACTACCAAACCCCTGGCATGTCTTTAACACAACTCACAAAATTGTTATGCAAAATAAACTGAATCCTCACGTCATAGAAATATTACGTTACCATTTCCCCGAAAGCACTTTCTAGCAGGGTACCAGTTTCTCTAAAGTTTAGCAAAAATAATGTCAATGCGTAATATTTTAATTAGAAAATAATTTTTCTGATTTTATGAGATTAAGCAAGTATGAAATAGTTGGAATTTGGCAATAAATTGAAGATTTAATGAACTTTTTAAAGTGCGTGAAAATGTGTGATTATGGGGAAACGGTAAATGTTTGATTTTTGCAGCAATAGGACATGGTAAATGCGTTAAAATGCGTGACTGCAGGGAAGGGGGTTTAAAGTAAGATTTGAGCAAAAAATTATTTATATGTACCTTATGAATGTAAGTAAAATAGAAATGCTAGCATTATATCAATCTTTAATACCAAGAATTTTGTGGCAAGAATATCAATTTCCAATAAATACCTCAATTAATTAGGAAGCTTTATCCACCCTGTGTACCTTCTGTAAAGTTTGTGAATTAACTTACCTGAATTCCCCTTGGGTGTCCAATGTGCTCCTTTGGCTGTGTCTGAAATTTTAAATATGTATGAAATTTTTTCTCAAGATAATGAAAAATCTCAGATGTATTTTAAAGCATAATTCACCTCTATACACTTCATAACTGAAGTTTTTATATGTAATTCTGACCAGATAACTAAATTAAAGAAGTTTTTTATTCATTAAGCCACTTACCTCTTTAAGAAAGAGGAGAGAGAAGGGAAGAAAAGCTTGATGGAGATACAAGGAGAGTCCGTCATTTGATCCCCCGTCCAGGAGCGCGGAATCAAAGTTGAAGTACGAGTCACTGCGGCCGTGCGTGAAGGCCTTTCTCCTCCACAGCGTGTCACACAGGTCCATGATCACGATGTTCAGGCTACGGACCGTCTCTTTCAGCCGCAGTCTCACAGCCTCACTCTCCGTCCCCTTCAGGTCGTTTTTTAGTTTCTGACAGTTCTCTTTATATCTATTGGACAGAAAGTTCAGAACAATTTTTAATAAACATTTCTTTTTTCCCTTGACTTTAGATTTATATAGATTACAAAAATCTTTTTTCTCCTCCATCACAGTATCTTAAAAATTTTGAAGACTTATTTGAAGAATAAATAGCTAGAAGCCATTGAGCTACAACACTCATCTTTGCCACATTGCTTTCTGCCATATGAGTGTGTACTAGTAAAACCCTACTAATCAACTAAGAGCAAGACAAATATCTCATATATATCTCAATGGTTATATTGTTCAGTGGTGACATTTCAACAAGACATTAAAAAATTGAACTCAATTTATCTGGCCCAAGGGTCACGAAACAGACTTAGACTTAAGTCAAAATTTCAATTGACTATTTAATTTTTATCAATCACTGAGTTGATCTCAAAATTAGCAAATTACAGCACTTTTGTGAATCAATACTGAAATTTATTCTAATTTTGATCTGCTTGAACTCCACAACATTTAAGCATAACATGAAGAATTTGATTTAAGCTTAAGATGCTTCATGATCCTGGGGCCTGAATACAAAGTTTGACAATGGTACTCATAAAAGGTCTTTAAAAAAAATAACAGCTGGCTATCGTTTACGTCAACAGTCAACATAGGGATATCCAGACATCTTATCCTGATTTCCTGTTGTGTGAGGTTAAAATATCATAGTCAAGAAAAGGCTTCCTATGTCGACTTGACATAATATACTCTGAAATGTCAAGGTCAAAGATCAAGGTTGAAGCCATCTAAGACTGATTCTGGAATATCTTTCCCTGATTGTCTGGCAAGAAGATAATCCTTCCAATAGCTGATAAGCTGATAAGTTCATATCCTTCATGCCTTATGTTGTTAACAAATATCAAAGCAAATATCCACTAATAACAACAAGAGGCCCAGGGGCCACATCGCTCACCTGAGCAATTGGCTAGGAAATAACACAGTTCAGATCAGAACTGAAAGTAAACTGGGGGGGGGGGGGGGGGGAACTTGAATTTTACACCCCCCCCCCTCAAGGGGTCATGATTTGAAAAAAACTTGAATCTACACTACCTGAGGATGATTCCCTGTAAATATAACAAAGCCTGGCTGTGAAGTACTTGAAAAGAAGATTTTAAAGGGTTTCCCTATATGTTCCTATGTAAAACTTTGATCGGCCATTCTGGGCCCCACCCTACCCCCGGGGGTCATGATTTGAAGACTCTGAATTTACACTGCACCTGAGGATGATTCCACATGAGTTTCATCTTTCCTGGCCGAGTGGTTCTTGAGAAGAAGATTGTTTAAGAATGCCATTAATTTTTCTCTAATTCATAATTATCTCCCCTTGGAAAAAGGGCCTGGCCCTTCATTTCAACAAACTTGAATCCCCTTTACCCAAGGATACTTTGTACCAAGTTTGGTTGAAATTGGCCCAGTGGTTCTTGAGAAGAAGATGAAAATGTGAAAAGTTTACGACGACAACAACGCCGACAACAACGACGACAACAACACCGACAGACAACGGACAAATTTTGATCAGAAAAGCTCACTTGAGCCTTTGGCTCAGGTGAGCTAATTAAAAACATGTCAGTCTGATTTTAGTACTTGTAAAAAGAAAATAATTGGAATGGGGGTGAGAGAGGAATCTACAAGAGCCACGCATCTAAATAAAATATGATTAAAAAGTAATATGGATGGATAACACTTTCCACCATAGCCTATATGCTTCATTTGATCTACAACCAAGCCATGTCATAGTTATGACAATATTTGCTTTACCTATTAATAATGCCACAGAGTCTCACGGCGGGGCCCATTGCATTGTCTGTCAGAAAGGCTCTGATGATGTGTCGGCTAGGCAAATATACACATGGTAAATCATAGCGGGTATATAATGTGGATACCTAATAATAAATCAAAACAATATTACAGTATTGGAAAAATTGATATAATCAATATAAAAAATAAAAGGTTCAGGGGCTACATGGCTCATCTGGGTTATACTATATCATATTCCTATTAATGAATAAATAAATTGAATCCCTAGTATGTCTATGTCTGCACCCAACATCCCGGGGAATGATTAAAAAAAAAAAATTAACCCACAATACTTTCAAAGTTTTACCTGTTCTTGAGATTTTTAAAAATTATTTTTCCCATTTTATTTCAAATGTTCAAAACATTAAAAGATTACAGATATATGGACACCTAAAGAGAAAGACATATGACAGATATTGGGTGATAGGAAAAACAGTTGAGTTTGCAACTCAGAAAAGCTGGAAAAAAGATTAAATTAAATTGTGTATAAAAGAATTACTAATCCCTAATTGTGACAGACAGACAGACAGACGTACCATTTCGCTGAAGGTGAGGGTGAAATGGAGCAGAAGATTGTGGTTGTTTTCCAGAGTTAGGCCAGCACAGTTAAGTCTGTCTATAAACTGAATGAGTCCCTGAACTGTGGATAGCGGGTCAAATGGTCCTATGTCGTCTTCGGAAAGATGGACACACTGTCCAAACAAAATCAATATACAAGCTTAGGATATTACAAATTTCATTTCCAATAAACATAATAAATTTTACTATCATTTACAGAAATTTTTTGCAATTTTTTTTTAAAGAAAATGTGTTGCTTACATTAAGCTACATTGATATTCTGATAAGAGAGACAACTCTTAATGACACAAATGTCTATTATTCCTTTAAATAAATTTCAATGTCAAGTTTAAGTGCCCAATTTGTCAAATTTTTCCCGCAAGCCATTCTATAATTGTTTGTCTTTTATTCAGTATATACATTTGCTTTGGAAAATCATAAAAATAAGAGATAAATTTCATATGAGTGAGCAGAGGGTTTATGAACCTTAAATAATAATAATTTACATAAACTGTAGTTCCAGTCTCAGCATAATTGACTGAACCTTCCTAAAATCAGACTTCCTTGATATTATCAGCGTTTGAAATGTACTGAATATAACTGTACTGCTCACCTTGGCTTTGATTTGGGATATTTCTGATTGTATCTGTGAATTTCCACCACTACATAATGACGCAGCAGCTGTGTCAAACACATAGTTATCTGGCACTGTATAAAAATTATACCCAGACATAAAGTAATCATTTAAACAAAGTTTTTGTAAGGCCACAATAAAAAAAAATTCCTAGAGTCTCATCCAAATTTTTTGAAAGATCGAGGCGGGCAGGCGGCTTTTATTTTATATTTTTCATTTTTTCCATTTTGCAGATTTTTTATTGACCTGGTCAATCATTGCAGATTTATCTAATACATGTTCCAAATTAAAAGTCATAGTGGAGGTCCATTTATGTCTTACTTTTTATCATCACCAATCTTTCACAACCAATACATACCGGGTACATGTATTACAGCAATTATGTATATATTACCATTTTAAAGTTGAATGGTAGTTGAATACCAATCTCAATCAGAATTCAGATGAAGAAAAACAGAAAAAAAAAATTGAGGCTGGGGAAAAAATTAGGGCAAGCAGAGATGAGAATCTAGGAATATATTTATTATGGCCTAATCATAATAATCATAAATTCAAGACAATGACTAAGTGTGACATTGACTCTGAAAGACTTGTCAAAGTTTTTTTTATCCATTCATATCACCCACATTGAAAAATCCCACTTTTTTTTTCTTTTATTTACCTCACGACGTTTATCATCAAAAACCTGAATGCTGTGTACTTGACCTAAAAATTGATTTTCACTCTAAGGCATAAAAACCTTTCAAATGCTTTCATTCATGCAAAAACTGTATTTTTTGGTGTCAATGACTTATTTATGGTGATTAAAATAAATAAGTATATAATGAAAAAACGTCAGAGATATGAAGCTGTAGAAAATCAACTAAATATTGTCATCATTATCATAAAATGACATACAATGAAGGCTATTGATTAAATTTCATCTTCTGTTTTAATAAAATACACCTTCTAGGAAACAAAAAACATGTACACTGTAAATATATGAACATATTATATGCAAGTAGCAGCTTAATCATGAAGTTTTTTATTTTGTTTATAGACATTAATATTCTTTATACTACACATATTTTTTTTAATACTTAATAGAGTACAGGGGGTTATAAAAAAAAACTGATGCAATATAATTAATACTATGAAGTCATTGATTACAAAATTGATAAGGAACATAAAACAACAAAAGTTTAAGAAGTGTTTAGAATTTCAGCTTGATTCGTTGAAATGCAATTTTATTACAAAACAAAAACATTTTTTTACCACCTGCCACTGTTGCCATTAAGTTTCATGACATCTGACATCATAGGTTTTCAATGTCCGCTACCCCTACCTCATAGGCTTATTTTGATGAAATTCTCTAGTAGGGCTGGACAAAAAATATCTAATATATTTCGTATATTGCAATATGTACAATCACAAAATATTATGGTACTGCAGTTAGAAATGTTTCATAAAATCAATATGCCTGCAAAATGTGAAGATTAGGCCAAGCGTAAAAAATTCTTTGTTTGCAGTTACCGACCTGAAATTTTTAGACGGGGTGGAGGAGGCATTTTTTTTTTTTTTTTTTTGGAAAAAAAAATAATTTTTTTTAGATAACAAAAAAAAAGGTTTTTTAACTTACAGATATGAAAAAGTATTTGTTTAAACCACTGATTGAAAAAAAAAAGTGTCAAAATTTTAAAAAAATGTTTAAATATTAAAAAAATTAAAAAAAAAAAAAATTACCAAATGGCAAAAAAAATTTGGGTCGGGTGCATTTTAGTAGTGGTAGGAACTAAAACAAACTTAATTTTATTTTAGGCCTTAAGGAATTTTATATCAAATATAAAAATAAATGTAACAAGAGGCCCAGGGGCCACAGCGCTCACCTGAGCACATCTGGCTTAAATTTTACCCCCCTCCAGGCGTTATCTTAACAAATTAGAACTCATACCTGAGTACTTTTCCATAAATATTTTTGGAAAAAAATCTATCAATCAAAGTTAAACAAACAAAAAAAAAAAAAAATTTTTTTAAAAATTTTTTTCCCAAATAAAATTAATCTGGTCCCCCATATCTAGGGTCCACTGTATCACTAATCATGTTTGAATACTTGAAAAAAAGATTTTAAAAGGTTTCCCTAAACCCTATGTAAAAATTGGGTGGGCCCTTTTAGCCCCCCCCCTTGCCCCGGGGGTTATTTGAACAAATTTAATTAATCCTAGGATGAATCCACATGAGTTTCATCTTTTCCCGGGAGTGGTTCTGGGGGGAAAAATTCCCGGGGAGGTCATGATTTAATAAAATTGAATCTACACTACCTGAGGATGAATCCACATGAGTTTCATCTTTCCTGGCCCAGTGGTTCTGGAGAAGAAGATTTTTAAAGATTTTTCCAATATTTCCATGTAAAACTTTCGGCCCTTTTTGGGCCCCACCCTTCCCCGAGGGTATTTTAACAAACTTAATTTACACTACCTGAGGATATTCCACATGATTTTACTTTCCTGGCCCAGTGGTTTGGGGAAGAAGATTTTAAAATTTTTTATATATTCCTATGTAAAACTTGGGCGCCATAGCCCCACCCTTGCCCCAGGGGTCAGATTTTTAAAAATCTTGAATCTACACTACCTGAGGATGCTTCCACATGAGTTTCATCTTTCCTGGCCCAGTGGTTTTGGAGAAGAAGATTTTTTAAAATTTTTTTTAAATTTCCCATGTAAAACTTGGGGCGGGATTTTGGCCCCATCCTTGCCCCCGGGGGGGGATGATTTGAATAAAATTAATTAATCCTAAAAAGAATCCAATGAGTTTTAATTTTCCTGGCCCCGTGCTTCTGGAGAGGAAAATTTTTAAAGATTTTTCCTATATATTCCATGAAAATCTTGGGTCAGCCATTTCAGCCCCACCCTTGCCCCGGGGGGCATGATTTGAATAAACTTAATCTACTCACTACTTAAAAATCCCCTAGTTTCATCTTTCCTGGCCCAGTGGTTCTGGAGAAGAAGATTTTTAAAATTTTTCCTATATTCCTATGTAAAAATTGGGGGAGGCCCTTTTTGGGGGGGATATTTTAACAAACTTGAATTTACACTACCTGAAATTCCACATGAGTTTCATCTTTCCTGGCCCAGTGGTTCTGGAAGAAAATTTTTAAAGATTTTTCCTATATATTCCTATGTAAAACTTGGTGGGCCCTTTAGCCCCCCCCTTCCCCGGGGTCATTTTAACAAATTGAATCTACACACCTGAGGATGCTTCCACAAATTTCACTTTCCTGGCCCAGTGGTTTGGTGAAAAAGATTTTTAAAACTTTTTTTATATTCCTATGAAAACTTGGGTGGGCCCTTTTTGCCCCACCCTTGCCCCCGGGAGGCATGATTTAATAAAATTGAATTACACACCTAGGAAATCCCATGAGTTTCATCTTTCCTGGCCCAGTGGTTTGGAGAAGAAAATTTTTAAAATTTTTCCTAATATTCCTATGTAAAACTTGGGTTTGGGCCCTTTTGGCCACATCCTTGCCCCAGGGTCATGATTTGAACAAACTTGAATTTTCCCCAGGATGATTCCACATGAGTTTATTTTTCCTGGCCCAGTGGTTCTGGGAAG